GGAGAACAAGCGTTACGTACAATACAGTTCATTTGTATGGGAATGTCATTTAGTAGGACAAATTGCTATTTCCTGAACATGCACTGTTGCGTGTGCATGTGTGTGATGGAATGACACTGTCTCTGGCTCACGCTGTGTGTTTGAGCCCGTATGGTGGGCTCTGACTCTGATGGCAATTTCCTCTCTTTTTTTCTCTCTTTTTTGGGAGCCTCGCCATATTCCCCTCTCATTGGTTCTACCAGCTCCCGTTCCCTTCCAAGCGTACACATAGAGCGGCGGGCCTTGCACAGCATCAGGGGAAATTTATGGCTGCTTAGGATTCAAGTCCCCCCCTCCATCACCCAGTCAGGCTTGGCATTTGAGTGGGGCTGAAATAAGCTTTGGCTTTTCTCCGTATCGTCTCTTTGCCTTTACTTCCTCTTTCTGTCAACATCCCACCACCTGTCTTCCTCTCACCGTCTCTCTCCGTCTCACATCTCTGGCCCCTCTTCATGCCTCCCTCTGTTTAGATTGTAATTGACTCATTTAGAGAGTTATCAGTGACTCATCTTTAACTGTCTCTTGCACAACATGTTGTGTTCTGGCCCACAGTACCCGGGTTTTTCCTTTTTTTATAAACTGGGGGTGTCCTGCTGTTCCGTCCTCATACAGGTTTTATAAGCTGGAATATAGCCGCCCACTCATCCCTTGTTTTCATTTTAAGTGCTTTGTTATACTGCACAACAAAAAGAAGCCACCCAAGGACGATGCGTGCTGTAAGACAGGTGCGAACACAGAAGCGACCCTGTTAGTGCACAAAAAGTGAACCGCGAAAGCCATGTGTAACACAGTGTGACAGGTTCTAAAACCTTAGTAATATGCTCCCGCTAAGGAAAACAGTCTTTTGTCACTTGAAGGGGTGGCCTCATTTCTCATTCTAAGGGACTTTTACACAGACATTGATGGGACTAACCCCCCCTGTGAAACCAGCACTATTGTGTGTAGGAAAAGTGTGTGTGTGTGTGTGTGTGTGTGTGTGCGTGTGCTGCAGGAAAAACAGCAGTGTGCGGTGATGGAGTGACAGACAGGCAGCCTGAGTGATTAATGAGCCCTCTTAATAATGCACCACGGTGAGGAAAGAGTGACGGGACAATTTGAGAGGAGCAAAGAAAAGGAGAGAGAAGAACAAACGCACAACGGATCGCGAGTCATCGACACAGACGGCGGCAGATTGGCAGCTACATTTTCCCAAATACAGATTGAGGTAAAAAGTGAGATTAAGATGAGATGACAGATCTAGTTGGACCAGATTTATCCCAGGCTGAGGGCTGGGCTCTGTAAAGGTGACTTTAAGTCGGTACATATTTTTAGCACATATTTGTCTGTCCGTAACCTTCTCACTGTCTGTCACCCAGTGGATCTGCCACATCTGCAGGATCTGTGACTGGAAAAGGGAACAGATCTGACTGGATGTTTGCAGCTGGTATTACACACAGGAGTGCTCATGCTGAATTTTAGTCGGAGATCACTCAGGTGCAGCCAGGGGAGTTTGTCTATAAAACAGCTTTTAAAGGTGTGAATTCAATGAAAATTGACTGTTGCTTGCTTGTTCTCGCACGACAATGAGATTGAGATTGGTTCCAATTTCTGTCAAATTACTGTTCAGGGTTTAGTGAACGTTAAAGCACATCCATACTGTGTGCATTCATGGAAAATGCATTCGGCAAACGTGTGGATGTACAGGCTATTGTGTCACAGCAGCTGAATTTAGACTCATGCGTGGGTGTGTCTGACTCGAGTGAGCTGATGTCTTGAAAGGACACTCACAGCATGTGTCCTGTCCCATGCCGTGAGACACACGCACAATGAAACTTTGTCCTAGAATTCTTCCCGTAGACCCTTCTCGTGCCGGCGTCATGGTTACATCACAGTGTTAGCTGGAGGCAAAACAAAGAAAAGACTGCAGTCAAACACAAAAATAGTTTAGCTTAGCCTCCTGCTAACCACAGTCATCACGGATGTTTCGTCACGCAGAACTAAACAATTGGAGAAATAGAGGGACAATGTTGCTAATAGTTTAGCTTAGCCTCCTGCTAACCGCAGTCATCACAGCTGCTTCGTCACGCCGAACTGAACAATTAGAGAAATAGAGGGAAAATGATGCTAATAGTTTAGCTTAGCCTTCTGCTAACCGTAGTCATCACGGCTGCTTCGTCACGCAGAGGGCTAAACAATAAGAGCGATGGATAAAATATTTTGCTAATAGTTTAGCATTCTGCTAAGCGTAGCCACAGCCATGAGCCTTTTAGTGAGCAGAAGCTAAATTATTAGCAACATTTTTGTCTCCATCTCTAAAACACCGATATTGTAAGACTGTACTTTGCTCTGCTTATTCTACTGTTATACTTTTCCTGGTGCTTTGGTAAGAGGAGGCAAAAAAAAAAAAACATTTAGTGTTCTGTTCAGTACAGTAAATGTAAAAGAAGGCCAAACAAAGCACCGGGAAATAAAGGAGAAGGAGCAATCAATAGCAGAGTAAGTGTGTTAGAGAGATGATGGGAGCAGAAAATAAAAGGGAGACGTGTAATAGTATGGTCACAGTAAACAAGGCTCTGGCCCTGGAGAGCACACGAGTAGCTGCTGTTGATGACCGGAAGAGAGAGAGACGATGACAGGGGAAGAAAATGCAGATTCAGACTGACTAATACGATCATTAAGCTGGCACATCTAATTAGTTATACTGTACAAGTTGATTCATGAAAGTTGCAGTTGCAATACCCAAAATGTCATTTCGCTTCATTTTTAATAAACCAGATCTTACTTTCTAGTGTGATATCAAGTCTGTTCTGCATCTCCTCACTAATTAGGGCTGCCCTATGAATTTGATAATGTGAATAATTTGTCAGAGAGCCCCCGCCCCCCCAATTCTGTTCCCCACCACAAAGCAACACAATATATGTAACTTACAAATGTAGTCTTGTCCTAAAATAAGCTTAAAGCAATTCTACAGAAGCTTTGTACAAGCAAACCATTCAAACAGTTTCCCCGACGTACCCGTATTTAGGCTCTGAAGTGCGAAGACTGTTACCGGTTACCCTTAAAGGGTCGATGTTTAACCCTTTGTGCAACCACGTACAATACAAACTACTACCTACCTTCCAATTTCTGTCCAATTGTAGATCCCTTCTAAAGTGCTGACCAGCATTTCTTTATTTATTTCAAAATGTACTCAAAAAGCAAATGAACAAATCACACTATTAAAGTGAACCAGTTGTGGTTGTTTATGTAGTGCATTAAAAGGACTGAATGATTTGTTAAACTATGTGACTTTTATCGGTCACAAACAACGTGAAACTACACTCCAAACACCCAGAGACTCATAAATAAGCTTCCACTGAGCTGCGGCACAGCAGAGGTGTTTGCTGTGAGGCCAGTGTGTTTGTCCTTGGCTGTACCTTTGAGGTTTGAGTCCAACGCTGCTGTAACCGACACCGGCTATCTGTCCAGCATCTCCACTGATCCCCCCCTCCCCAGCCCTCCTCAGGCCCCCAGAGACACTACATTCATTATTTACACACACAGGGTTTCTCAGGCCCCACGGCAGGGCCTGACCTCCCTCATTTGGCCTCAGTCACCAGACACACAACATATTATAGTCAAATATACGTAAATAAACGCACCGATTTTAAATGTGTGACATCTTCTGCCTGTTTGCTTGCTCTTGGCTGCTGTAAGCACTCAGACAGCTACGCAGATAAATCTGAACTCGCTTCCCTTGAAGAATAAAAGGGAAAACCATGCGCGTGTGTTTGTACGACTTGAACAAAATTCCCCAGTTACCTCCCAAAAAAAACCCCCAAATCTGTCCACATAATGCAGACATACCATACACATCAACCTGTTCCTGTCAACCTGGGCTCTCAAATAGATATTTTTCTATATTTATTGTGACAGCGTCGACGCCGCTTTGATATTTCTTCTGCTCGGCAGAGTTTTCAGCATGCCGTGTGCAGCAAGGGAACGCAGAGGTCCATCAAGTTGGATTTGGCTCTTTTGCTGTTTCTGTTGTTAAAATGCATTAGTATCTTTCTCTGTTGTGCCGTGTTTTTTTTTGCCCCCCCCCAAAAAAATCTATTGTTATTCTGCACACAGCTGAGTACGCTCCGTTAATCCCACGCCGCATTTCAACAAACAAGCTTTTATTTACAAAGTAAACTGAATAAAGATTTCTCTTTTTCCACAGATTTTCTTTCACACTTTGAAGGAAACAGCTCTTATCCAAAGTCCAACCTTTATAACGACATTTAACATTTTATTCAAGAACATTGAAACGATTTTATCACCTGGATAACTGTGACGTCGGTGCTTCGGTGTTTAGCGCTGCTGACTTCCGTGTTAGTGTAGATTTCCGTCCGAAGACATGCGAGCCAGGTGGTTTTTCAGAGCAGAGGTATGAACTGAGCATCTGCGTTTATAAAACACACTGGGAAAGTTGCCAGCCTACCACTGCACTGCCTTCTGCCCAGTGCATGCTGGGATTGGTTTAACCACCGTGTGACCCTGAATAGAAATAAAAGGGTAAAGACAATAAATGAATGAGACCTTTTTTTCATATCATTAGGGGCAATACTTGTGTGAAGTGTGAAGTGTAAAGATTATGTCTTTGTCATACTTGAAAAAGATGAAACGCCACGGTCACATTAAGTCAAGTTTATTTGTATAGCCGTTAAAAGCCTTTAATCACAGCTGGTCTCAAAGTGCTCCAGAAGACTTCATCACCCCCACATTATGAAACATTAAATGAGAATGAAGAATGAATTGATTGCCCTCTATCCTAACGCCCTCGCTGTGCGAAAAAGAAGAAAAAAAAATCCTATGAAAAGGAAATTGCAACCGGTGACTCATCCGAGCATGCAGTATGTATCAGACGAGCCTCACAAGGGCAATGTGTTGCTTTGGGTTTGTTCCTCTGTGCACTCACCCCCCCTCCTCTCTCTCCCTCTCCTCATCTGTGTCTCCAGGTGCAGCAGGATGCAGGGCGTCCTGCCTGTGTGTGGACTGCAGCCCCTGCTGGCCCTCCTTCTGCTCCAGACCGCGGGCTGTGGTGAGTCTTCATTAAACTCTGGGCGGTCCCCGTCTCCCGACCCTCTGTGCATGCAAAATGTAAAAAAAAAACGTAAAATGTAATATGTAGTGAGTTCACACTGCGAGGTGTGTGGATTTTGAGAAATGCCCAGGTTCATACTGCATTAGCAAGAATTTGAGTCATGAGCTTACTGCACATGCTCAACTGCCCCACAATGCATTGCGTCTCAGGGCCTTGAGACCATCTGTTAGTCTTGTGAGATTTTGAGCCAGGATAAAGGTTTTAATGTGTCATTTCATTAAGTTAAAACCAGTCTGCTTGGTAAAATACATAGACTGTATATAAGAAGTGGATGTAGTCGTCGTGACATCACCCATTGGGTTGTGAATTGCGGTTTTGAAGCTTCGAGTTCGAGCCATCTTTGTTTTTTGCAACCAGGGAACGGAAGTGACCATATTTGGACAGCAGAGGAGTACGGCTCTAGTATTAGTAGCGACCTGTCAATCATAAGGTAGCCCCGCCCTAAAGCATCCCCTGCTTTATGGTCTGTTTGACTCTAAATGGACCATAATTTACTAAATGAACATCATGTTGTATTGAAGAAGACTTGAAACTAGCGATTGAGACCATAAACCCATGTTTAAAATGTTCACTGAGGTAATAAATCAAGAGAGAAGTAGAGTCATTTTCTCATAGACTTCTATACAACCAGAGGAGCCGCCCCCTGCTGGCCACAAGAGAGAATGTTTAAGGCACTTCCACCTTGGCTTCACTTTTCAGAACGGGAGGTTAACGCCTGAATAAATCGTTCATTTAGTAGTCGGTATGCAATACATACTGAATGAGTATATAGTATGCAGTACATTAATATGCTGCATACTATACAGCCATATACAGCCTCTCTCATTCTTTTTACCGGTAGAAATGGAGCCTATGAATACTTCATGGTCTTGTTACCTCTGATATATCAGATTCTGTGTGCACTCAATCTGCCACATGATTCATAGTTATCATTAATACTAGTGAAAATAAAAAATACATCATATATTTGATAGACTACTTGCGCAACCATCCTGCAAAACCGAGCGTTGCTTTTCAGAATACTCCTCCATAAATCGACACTGGGAGTTTGGATCTAGCTCCTGTCACCACACCAACTTCCATGTACAGGATGTGATAAATGATGTCCCCGGTGTAATTATAGGGGGATGAATACATCTGCTTAAAAACCTGGTTGTAGAGCACGGGGGGAAGCAGGGGGACTGGGCGAGAGCCAGAATGATGTGTGATACAGATAATCCAGCATTTCCTTCCAGTCAAAGATAAACAAAACCCACATCACCTCCAACGCCAAATAGCATATAATCACACAATTTTAAACTTTCAGCCAAGAACCTTTCAAGAATGAAACCACTAGCATAGGATTTTGTAAAAGCGTAGCTCAAATGGCTCAAACTATTATATTGTCTGTTGTCTCCTCGGGGGTGAAAACCTCTCCAGCACGTCTAGTATGAAGAACGTGTTGGAGAACCAGATTTCTGCGCCGTCTCTTAACTTGAAAATCCAGCTTGTGATGTGATGCTTTGACCAATCACAGGTCATCTCAGAGACGGGACGTTCCTATTGGCTTCTTATGGTTTGTATGATGCCCAAAATAAACCTGCCTCCCCCAGCTTTAAGTAAAGTATACAGCTGCAAATAACCCACTTCTGTAAGCTTCCCTCATGCCTGCTTCTGGTTTGTTCACTGGCAAAATCACAACTCACACTGGTCAACACCGCGTTGACACAAAGGAGCATTCATGAGCGAGTGACAGCCAGGTTAGCAAAATGAATGTCCCGCCTACCCACGAATGAACGGTCCCATATGTGATGGTTGAGGTGTTGTGAGGATGACTCGTTAGATCTCCTCTGTCGCGTTGACATCTCCTTGGTCTGTCGGTCGGTCCATTCCTTCCCGTGTCTCGTGTGTTGGTATCTTGAGTGCTTGGCAGACCTTCACAGCTCAGCTACCAGCTCACTTATTTCTCCTGTTTCATCTGCTCATGATTTCCAAAAACAGCACTCCAGAGACGGGGCGCGAGGATGAGATGTAAAGAAGAAAAACAAATCTGGGATGTCAAAAAGCTCACAGTAATCCTCTTAGCCATTTCTAAGAGAAGGAAAGATCATTTTGATATTTTGTTAAATCTCCGAGATTTTTATTTCTAATATACGTTTGCAGAGCTCATTAAAAATTAGCTTCTACTCGGCTGCAAAGCTGGAAGTTTGGGATCTTAATCCTCTCATTATGAGTCAGCAGGTCTCACAAACTCTTGCGAGAGAGACTTGACGTTTTGCATCTGTTTGGATGATAATTTGACTGAATTTTTTAAACCGCTCGACTGAGCTGAGGGAAGGACAGCGTGAGAGGGAAACATGAAGCGAGGTTTTAAGAAAAGAGAGAAACGGAGGCTTCGGTGTCATAGTGCGAAACTCTGAGTCATTTATCTATCTGTACGTCTGTTCTGGTCGCTCAACATCCTCCCTGTTTGGCAGTTTTATTTGTCTATTCTGCAGAGCCGTGCAGGAGAGAGGATGCAATACAAGCATTCACATCCTTCTTCGGCCTCTCTACACTCTCCTCGTACTCCCCTGCTGTGTAGTTATTTTGTATCTGCATGTGTTTATGTGTATGTACAGACCTCATGCCCCCTCAGTGCTCTCAGTGACCTCCCTGACCGCCTGCTCCTCGCTCTAACGTAATGTTTCTGCCTTCTGTGGAGGTAACAAAAATAAAAAATAGAAAAGTCAAAGCACCTGGCACGGGGTCCTTTCTGTGACTCGGGGCTCAGATTCGCCAGCCGAGAGATGATGAAAATGGAGCCAACTCCTCCGTGTGCGTATGTGTTTGCGCGGAAACCTTCAGGTTACATCTGCCAGGTAGTTTATGCAGCCAAATCGCAGAGCAGCTCGCACTCTGGCCCACACACGCACACACACACACACAGATTATCTCTGAGGAGCCCGAAAAACACACTCTGCTCTGGAGGAGTTTAGTTTTTTGAGGGCATTACTGTCTCCTGTTCTCGATGTCTTTTCCCTCCGTTCCCGCATTTTGTGTTAGTTTTTTCGGCTGAGTGACTCTGGAAACAGTCGATGGGAGGTGGAGGACCACAGGGAGGGCTGGCACTAAAGCTCAACCCGTGACACACTGCTTGACAGCCCAGAGATTGGAAAGAGAGGTGGGACGTGGGGGGGACAGATTAGGGGTGAGCTTTTTGCACATGTGTGTGTGTCGATGATAGCGTGAGCATGCCTGCACTTTTGTGTACAAGCGCTCGTGTACGTGTGTTTGTGAATTTGAAGATGTTGGCCGCGTGCCGTGCGAGATAAACGTATCATTATGCTTCAGAGGGCGCAAAATGAGTCACGGCAGCAGCCTGCGGGGAGTTCCTGTGAAGCCTGACATGGCCTGGTAGGAGTCAGCTCAGACTGCAGGGACATGGTTCATATTCGTCACACAGAGGAGACTAGAGAGGAGGAGACTAGAGAGGAGGAGACTAGAGAGGAGGAGACTAGCGATGAGGAGACTAGAGGAGGCAGTCACAAAGGGATGGTTGCAGTGTAGGCCTGTCACAACGATTACGTGACGGGCTGATCGTACGCGATACTGACATGATCTTGATAACTTTTACATTTTTGACTTATCATACAATACCTAGACCTGATTATTTATACATCAATCAAACATTTACCGCAGGTTACATATATTATTATTATATCCACATTCACAGTCCTTCACATTGACGTTAGCTGAAACGTCAACTCCGTCTGTGCTTTTTTTCCTGCCACCTCAGCAGAAAGCAGTGAAGTAGGTCACCACAGAAAGCTAATCAACAATGTTGGGACTAATGTGAACGATAGCATTAGCTGCGTCAATGTTAGCTGTGCTAAGTTTGGAAAGTTTGGAAATAAAGGGTTATTTCAGGGTTTTTAGAAGTGTGTTTGTATGTATACTCCTCTGCTGTGCGTGGTAGAAATACTGTTTTTGGTAATGTCGCTGGTGGGTTTGAAGAGAGTGATGTAACAGCTTCAGTTTACCGTTAGAAAGTGCTGACGGCGAGGATAAATTGGCTGTGGACAGGAGCAGCAAAAAAACACATTTTAACCACCTAGAAAATGTTTAAGTGTACGCTATATTCAGAATATTTTCATGCCTTTTCTGACCGGGAGCTGCAGTCGTTGTATCGCTCTCTTTAAAGCCATGAGACTCCATTGACAAAAACAGTAATTTTACGTGGCCGTTGCTTGTCAGGTCATATCTATGGAAAAACTCTTATGGAAGGGCTCAGGAGAATAGCATTTTGACTCTCAAACATACATACTTAAGGAACACCACCGGGAAGCTACTGAATATCTAATGGAGCTGCCCTTTCATGCTTAGTTCTGCAGGGGCAGGCAGGTCATTATGTGAGACGTTTCATGACAGTTTTCAAAGGCTACTAGCGTGAGACAAAGCCTGAGAGCGAGAACGACGAGAAAACAGAGGACTGTATGGAGAGGAGAAGTAGAGCACGAGAGAAAGAGGAGGGAGCCGCAGAGGGTTGGGAGGGATGTTTCGGGGAGAATGTCAGCGAGGAGACATCATTTCCAAACCCTGCGTGATGTCCGCCCCGCAGACCTGCTGTGTTTAGACGGGCAACGTGGACAAATATAGACAAACACACACACAGGGAACTTCAGTGAGGAGTGTGTTGTGTACAATGTCTTCATTGGAGAGTGTGTGTATCTTTGCATATTTGATTGTGTGTGTGTGTGTGTGTGTGTGCTGCAGTGAAAGACAGGCCAGTGTTGAAACACAGTGGAGAAACAAGGAGGAAACCATCGCCTCCTCATTACATTATACATTATACAGTACATAACCTCCGATGTGCTCTTTGAAGAGGCCACACTCAAAGCACACAGTTAAATGTGTGTGTGTGTGTGTGTTTCCTGCCCTGATCAGAAGCTCCTTCCTTTTTTTTCCCATACGTGGTG